AGGATCGAATCCATAACTCTCACTGATTATATCTGAAAGTTTGTTGGCACCTAACTCGTGGTCGTGGGATTCATCAATGCGCTCTGAAGCCCTCATCTCTTTTGTCTCTCGTCCCACATCAAGCTCACATGGCGGGGTATCATTGTAACATGGTTGAAAGATGTTTAAACACAACTCGCTCACAAATTTACGTCTCACAATATGGCTAACATTTCAGAACCCGCAACAAAGAACGAAGAGAGGCTACTCGATTAGACTCCCGAATAGCAGGAATTAAATAATGGCGGACCCGATTGTCAGGTCCGAGGTTGCAAGAAGGCAGTATGGAAAGGTCTCAACGTTTGCCCGAGGCGCTCCGAGGGGAATCAATTGCCTACACAGCTGACCCTCACTCAGCAGCTGGAAACGACTGTGACGACCAGGGTTACTATTGCTCATTGGGGTATGATACTATTGATGATTGGGGTATGATACTATTGATGATTGGGGTATGATACTACTGATGAATGGGGTATGATTCTATTGATGATTGGGGTATGATACTATTGATGAATGGGGTATGATTCTATTGATGATTGGGGTATGATACTATTGATGGTTGGGGTATGATACTATTGATGATTGGGGTATGATTCTATTAATGATTGGGGTATGATACTATTGATGATTGGGGTATGATGCTATTGATGATTGGGGTATGACACTATTGATGATTGGGGTATGATACTATTGATGATTGGGGTATGATACTATTAATGATTGGGGTATGATACTATTGCTCATTGGGGTATGATACTATTGATGATTGGGGTATTATACTATTGATGATTGGGGTATGATACTTGTGGTATGATACTATTGCTCATTGGGGTATGATATGATTGGGGTATGATACTATTAATGATTGGGGTATGATACTATTGATGATTGGGGTATGATACTACTGATGATTGGGGTATGATACTATTGATGATTGGGGTATAATACTATTAATGATTGGGGTATGATACTATTGCTCATTGGGGTATGATACTGTTGATGATTGGGGTATTATACTATTGATGATTGGGGTATGATACTATTAATGATTGGGGTATGATACTATTGATGATTGGGGTATGATTCTATTAATGATTGGGGTATGATACTATTGATGATTGGGGTATGATACTATTGCTCATTGGGGTATGATACTATTGATGATTGGGGTATGATACTATTGATGATTGGGGTATGATACTATTAATGATGAGGGTATGATACTATTAATGATTGGGGTATGATTCTATTAATGATTGGGGTATGATACTATTAATGATTGGTGTATGATACTCTTCATGATTGGGGTATGATTCTATTGATGATTGGGGTATGATACTATTGATCATTTGGGTATGATACTATTGATGATTGGGGTATGATATGATTGGGGTATGATACTATTAATGATTGGGTTATGATACTATTGATGATTGGGGTATGATACTATTGATGACTGGGGTATGATACTATTGATGGTTGGGGTATGGTACTATTGATGATTTGGGTATGATACTATTGATGATTTGGGTATGATACTTTTGCTCATTGGGGTATGATACTATTGCTCATTGGGGTATGATATGATTGGGGTATGATACTATTACTGATTGGGGTATGATACTATTGATGATTGGGGTATGATACTATTGATGATTGCAGTATGATACTATTGATGATTGGGGTTTGATACTATTAATGCTATTGATGATTGGGGTATGATATGATTGGGGTATGATACTATTGATGATTGGGGTATGATACTATTAATGATTGGGTATGATACTATTAATGATTAGGGTATGATACTATTAATGATTGGGGTATGATTCTATTAATGATTGGGGTATGATACTATTAATGATTGGGGTATGATACTATTGATGATTGGGGTATGATTCTATTAATGATTGGGGTATGATACTATTGATGATTGGGGTATGATACTATTGATGATTGGGGTATGATACTATTGATGATTGGGGTATGATACTATTGATGATTGGGGTATGATACTATTGATGATTGGGGTATGATACTATTGATGATTGGGGTATGATACTATTAATGATTGGGGTATGATACTATTGATGATTGGGGTATGATACTATTAATGATTGGGGTATGATACTATTAATGATTGGGGTATGATACTATTGATGATTGGGGTATGATATGATTGGGTATGATACTATTGATGATTAGGGTATGATACTATTGATGATTGGGGTATGATACTATTGATGATTGGGGTATGATACCATTGCTCATTGGGGTATGATGTGATTTGGGTATGATACTATTGATGATTGGGGTATGATATGATTGGGGTATGATACTATTGATGATTGGAGTATGATACTATTAATGATTGGGGTATGATATGATTGGGGTATGATACTATTGCTCATTGGGGTATGATACTATTGCTCATTGGGGTATGATACTATTGCTCATCCCTGATCACGTGACGTTATATATCAATTAATAAAATTCAGAATATCTTTTAGGTACAGAATATCTTTTAGGTACTGTTTGTGAGTGATGAGATGAAGATGTGAGCTGAGACTGGAACCAATTTATCATTCCTTGTCGACGGTAGTTTCCGTAGTCTCCGAGCTACACAGACTGACTACAGCTCCCAATGACACCGTAGTTGGAGTGTCACATACAACGCTTTAATACAACCCTAAAGGTGAAATATATAACTTAAGCTCATTTATCAGAACCGGGATAGCCATTCTCAATACGTTTGTAGCACTACGAACTTCTTAAGCCCATTCTTAACACATTGGCTACGATCAAAGTTAAGAATTCTTAGGAGTAAGTACGTTTTGAGAATAAGGGCCCAGATCGCGGGTAGTTGTGTTGTAGCATCACAATCAGATCACAGGTAGTTATGTTGTAGCATCACAATCAGATCACAGATACTTGTGTTGTAGCATCACAATCAGATCACAGGTTTGTGAATTAGCATCACAATCAGATCACAGGTAGTTGTGTTGTAGCATCACAATCAGATCACAGGTAGTTGTGTTGTAGCATCACAATCAGATCACAGGTAGTTGTGTTGTAGCATCACAATCAGATCACAGGTAGTTGTGTTGTAGCATCACAATCAGATCACAGGTAGTTGTGTTGTAGCATCACAATCAGATCACAGTAGTAGTTGTGTTGTAGCATCACAATCAGATCACAGGTAGTTGTGTTGTAGCATCTGAAATCAGATCACAGGTAGTTGTGTTGTAGCATCATCATCAGATCACAGGTAGTTGTCAGATCACAGGTAGTTGTGTTGTAGCATCACAATCAGATCACAGGTAGTTGTGTTGTAGCATCACAATCAGATCACAGGTAGTTGTGTTGTAGCATCACAATCAGATCACAGGTAGTTGTGTTGTAGCATCACAATCAGATCACAGGTAGTTGTGTTGTAGCATCACAATCAGATCACAGGTAGTTGTGTTGTAGCATCACAATCAGATCACAGGTAGTTGTGTTGTAGCATCACAATCAGATCACAGGTAGTTGTTGTGTTGTAGCATCACAATCAGATCACAGGTAGTTGTGTTGTAGCATCACAATCAGATCACAGGTAGTTGTGTTGTAGCATCACAATCAGATCACAGGTAGTTGAGTTGTAGTGTGTTGTAGCATCACAATCATAATAGCATCACAATCAGATCACAGGTAGTTGTGTTGTAGCATCACAATCAGATCACAGGTAGTTGTGTTGTAGCATCACAATCAGATCACAGGTAGTTGTGTTGTAGCATCACAATCAGATCACAGGTAGTTGTGTTGTAGCATCACAATCAGATCACAGGTAGTTGTGTTGTAGCATCACAATCAGATCACAGGTAGTTGTGTTGTAGCATCACAATCAGATCACAGGTAGTTGTGTTAGCATCAGCATCAGATCAAGTTGTGTTGATCAATCAGATCACAGGTAGTTGTGTTGTAGCATCACAATCAGATCACAGGTAGTTGTGTTGTAGCATCACAATCAGATCACAGGTAGTTGTGTTGTAGCATCACAATCAGATCACAGGTAGTTGTGTTGTAGCATCACAATCAGATCACAGGTAGTTGTGTTGTAGCATCACAATCAGATCACAGGTAGTTGTGTTGTAGCATCACAATCAGATCACAGGTAGTTGTGTTGTAGCATCACAATCAGGCCACAGGTAGTTGTGTTGTAGCATTCTTGACAACTGTTTCAGCCCAGTAAGTCTGCTTCAAGTGCTGCTCACGCCTGGAAAGAAGTGGTGAAGTTGGCGGTCAGCTAGCCCCATGGTTAAAGCGCTCGCTCGTAACGCCGATGCCTCGTGTTCGATTCTCCACATTCATGCAAATCGTAGGAGGCCTCGTGTTCGATTCTCCACATTCATGCAAATCGTGGATGTCATTTCTGTCCCTCACTGTAACACTGCTGGAATATTGCTAAAACCACCGGAAACCTCACTCAAATCACTCACTCACTCACTACACTAGGAGGGAACAACACGATTTGAGTTCAACGTGACGTCATATCTCGAACCCTCAACTGTGAGCACAGGTTACATGTACAAGTGTACAAATCTGTCTCACAGGATATATAGTCCCTATATCCCACAATCTAAGCAGTTTATTTATTTATTTATTTTTTATTTTATTTATTTATTTATTTATTTATTTATTTATTTATTTATTTATTTATTTATTTATTTATTTATTTATTTATTTATTTATTTATTTATTTATTTATTTATTTATTTATTTATTTATTTATTTATTTATTTATTTATTTATTTATTTATTTATTTACAGTCCTATCTCTCGAGCATATATTGTATATTTAATCAGTCAGGCAGTTGAACGGTTCAATGGTTGGAAGGTCATGAATTGTACAATGTGCAATAATAATATCAAGCAACACCTTCAAGAAGCAAGCTGACTGTTCATCTCATGCACGGGGCGAACTGTTCAATGCCCCCCTAAATTCCCTTGTCACTATTTCCTGTTGACTCATGTTTTCTATCACAGGCTTAACTAACTAGGTCAAATCACCGCATAAATTTCAGTCACCTTGAACTACATGAAACGTGCAGCTATTTGCGTGTAGTGATGGAAAGTACCAAACGTATAGGAGCAGTTCTGGTGTTATTGCTGCTGCCAAGCCAAGGTAAGCATAGATATACGTTTGTTTTAATGTATGCACTTGTATGGGGTGGAGAGGAGGTGGGGTGTCAGGGTTAGCGTCCAGGTCACGCCAGCTGATTGTGTAACAGTTCTTTCACAGTTTGAAAACTCCGTCCGTGGGATCTAACGGTATATTTCAGGGTGCAGAGAAATAATATTGCACACGTTGTATACTCAACTTAATATATCACTGGTATAGTTAATACACATCTATATCATATGAATCTATTTCACGGTATATGTACCGTGTAGATATACGTGTATAATAATATGCAATAAAACTGTGCGGACAAATAATTATAAGTTGTTACACTGAAAACATCCCTCTAACGATACGGTCGGAGATTTGTATTAGGAAACTCATGAAAATGTTGTACAGAGATCTAAAGGTTGTACAAATGAAGGTCGTACATACATTTTATCAAATGCATACACATATGTGTTGACAAATATAAAGGTGAGTGCTGGTATATTTTATTTTAAAGAAAAGGAAACACAGTTATACAGACAGAACACTGCCCGACATTTGTCGTTTCTCGGCATAATAATGATTAAGGATTATGAGTGCTTCGATTATGTTACTTATTTCAAAATTCCTCCGACGACCCACAACTCCCACAGCGAAAACACCAATTCAATTCAACAGCGCCCACACACACACACACACACACACACCACAACACCCACTACCTCTCACTCCAGCACTAACACCAACCCTCCTCCACTACTAACACCTACCCCCCACCCCTCCCACTCCAACACCTACCCCACCCCCTGCCCCTCCAACACCTACACCTACCCCACCCTCCCTCTCCAGCACCTACCCCCACCCCTCCCACTCCAACTCTACCCCTGCCAACACCCAGCTCCCCCTCCCACTTTAAAACCTACCCCACCCCTCCTACTCCAACACCTACCCCACCCCTCCCACTCCCTCTCCAACACCTACCCCCACCCCTCCCACTCCACCGCCACCCTCCTACTCTAATACCAAGCCCCACCCTCCCACTTAACACCTACCCCACACCCCTCCCAATTCAACATCTACCCCCAACACTAACCCAGCCCTCCCACTCCAACACCTACCCCTCCCTCTCCAACCCTACCCCACCCCTCCATCTCCAACACCTTCCCCCACCCCACCCTTCTCCAACACCTACCCCAACCCCCCAACACCTACCCCTCGACCAACACCTCCCACTCCAACACCCACCCTCCATCTCCAACACCTACCCCCACCCCTCCTTCTCCAACACCCACACCCACCCTTCCACCCTACCCCCATCTCCCACCACCTACCCCCCCAACACCCTCCAACACCTCCCACTACAACCCCACCCCTCCCCCTCTCCAACACCTACCCCCACCCCTCCCTCTCTAGCACCTACCCCCACCCCTCCTTCTCCAACACCTACCCCCGACCCTCCCTCTCCAACACCTACCCCACCCCCTCCTCCAACACCTACCCCCACCCTCCCACTACAAACCTACACCCACCCCTCCCACTACAACACCTACCCCCACCTTTCCTCCCTCTCCAACACCAACCCCCCCCACCCTCCCTCTCAAAGCACCTACCCTCCCACCAACCCTCCCACTCTCCAACACCAAGCCCCACCCTCCAACACTCCAACACCTACACCCACCCTTCCCCTCTCCAACACCTACCCCCACCTCTCCACCCACCTCCCACCCCTCCCTCCAGCACCTACCCCACCCTCCCACTCTAACACCACATCCCCCTCCCACTTCCCAACACCTACCCCACCCTCCCACTCCAACACCTACCCCCACCCTCATTCTCCAGCACCTACCCCCTCCCACTCCTACCCTAACACTAAGCTCCACCCTCCCACTACAACACATACCCCCACCCTTCCCTCTCCAACACCTACCTCCAGACACAAGTGACCGACACAAAGAGACTGACGAACCCGGGGGTGGACTGACGTTGTCGCCATGGCTCCCATTAGTGTAGAGATATGCACAGGGGACGACTCGGATGTAAGGAGCATGACGTCCATCATTAGCTTGTGAGTGATCATGTCCACGTGAAATCCCCGACAGGTCAGTCAGACATGAATTAACCCTCACCCTGGATGAATGAAGACAGTACTGTAGCATGTTAAGATGGTTTGTTATTGGGAAGTAAGGACGAGAAGATCCCACAAAAAATTCCGACCTGTAGTTAAACTGTATCATGGCGCCCGGCGTTTAGTAGTTGCAACAAGGGATGGTGAGCTGGACCTGTAGTTAAACTGTATCATGGCGCCCGGCGTTTAGTAGTTGCAACAAGGGATGGTGGGCTGGACCTGTAGTTAAACTGTATCATGGCGTCCGGCGTTTAGTAGTTGCAACAAGGGATGGTGGGCTGGACCTGTAGTTAAACTGTATCATGGCGCCCGTTTAGTAGTTGCGTTTAGTAGTTGCAACAAAGGGATGGTGAGCTGGACCTGTAGTTAAACTGTATCATCCGGCGTTTAGTAGTTGCAACGGCTGGACCTGTTTAAAGTATCATGGCGTCCGGCGTTTTGCAACAAAGGAGCTGGACCTGTAGTTAAACTGTATCATGGCTGTAGCCCGGGAGTTGCAACAAGGGATGGTGAGCTGGACCTGTAGTTAAACTGTATCATGGCGTCCGGCGTTTAGTAGTTGCAACAAGGGCTGGTGGGCTGGACCTGTAGTTAAACTGTATCATGGCGTCCGGCGTTTAGTAGTTGCAACAAGGGATGGTGGGCTGGACCTGTAGTTAAACTGTATCATGGCGCCCGGCGTTTAGTAGTTGCAACAAGGGATGGTGGGCTGGACCTGTAGTTAAACTGTATCATGGCGCCCAGCGTTTAGTAGTTGCAACAAGGGCTGGTGGGCTGGACCTGTAGTTAAACTGTATCATGGCGCCCGGCGTTTAGTAGTTGCAACAAGGGATGGTGGGCTGGACCTGTAGTTAAACTGTATCATGGCGCCCGGCGTTTAGTAGTTGCAACAAGGGATGGTGGGCTGGACCTGTAGTTAAACTGTATCATGGCGCCCGGCGTTTAGTAGTTGCAACAAGGGATGGTGGGCTGGACCTGTAGTTAAACTGTATCATGGCGTCCGGCGTTTAGTAGTTGCAAAAAAGGGATGGTGGGCTGGACCTGTAGTTAAACTGTATCATGGCGCCCGGCGTTTAGTAGTTGCAACAAGGGATGGTGGGCTGGACCTGTAGTTAAACTGTATCATGGCGCCCGGCGTTTAGTAGCTGCAACAAGGGATGGTGGGCTGGACCTGTAGTTAAACTGTATCATGGCGCCCGGCGTTTAGTAGTTGCAACAAGGGATGGTGGGCTGGACCTGTAGTTAAACTGTATCATGGCGCCCGGCGTTTAGTAGTTGCAACAAGGGATGGTGGGCTGGACCTGTAGTTAAACTGTATCATGGCGCCCGGCGTTTAGTAGTTGCAACAAGGGATGGTGGGCTGGACCTGTAGTTAAACTGTATCATGGCGCCCGGCGTTTAGTAGTTGCAACAAGGGATGGTGGGCTGGACCTGTAGTTAAACTGTATCATGGCGCCCGGCGTTTAGTAGTTGCAACAAGGGATGGTGGGCTGGACCTGTAGTTAAACTGTATCATGGCGCCCGGCGTTTAGTAGTTGCAACAAGGGATGGTGGGCTGGACCTGTAGTTAAACTGTATCATGGCGCCCGGCGTTTAGTAGTTGCAACAAGGGATGGTGGGCTGGACCTGTAGTTAAACTGTATCATGGCGCCCGGCGTTTAGTAGTTGCAACAAGGGATGGTGGGCTGGACCTGTAGTTAAACTGTATCATGGCGCCCGGCGTTTAGTAGTTGCAACAAGGGATGGTGGGCTGGACCTGTAGTTAAACTGTATCATGGCGTCCGGCGTTTAGTAGTTGCAACAAGGGATGGTGAGCTGGACCTGTAGTTAAACTGTATCATGGCGCCCGGCGTTTAGTAGTTGCAACAAGGGATGGTGAGCTGGACCTGTAGTTAAACTGTATCATGGCGCCCGGCGTTTAGTAGTTGCAAACAAGGGATGGTGGGCTGGACCTGTAGTTAAACTGTATCATGGCGCCCGGCGTTTAGTAGTTGCAACAAGGGCTGGTGGGCTGGACCTGTAGTTAAACTGTATCATGGCGCCCGGCGTTTAGTAGTTGCAACAAGGGATGGTGGGCTGGACCTGTAGTTAAACTGTATCATGGCGCCCGGCGTTTAGTAGTTGCAACAAGCAACAAGGGATGGTGGGCTGGACCTGTAGTTAAACTGTATCATGGCGCCCGGCGTTTAGTAGTTGCAACAAGGGATGGTGGGCTGGACCTGTAGTTAAACTGTATCATGGGGTCCGGCGTTTAGTAGCTGCAACAAGGGATGGTGGGCTGGACCTGTAGTTAAACTGTATCATGGCGCCCGGCGTTTAGTAGTTGCAACAAGGGATGGTGGGCTGGACCTGTAGTTAAACTGTATCATGGCACCCGGCGTTTAGTAGTTGCAACAAGGGATTGTGGGCTGGACCTGTAGTTTAACTGTATCATAGCGCCCGGCGTTTAGTAGTTGCATCAAGGGATGGTGGGCTGGACCTGTAGTTAAACTGTATCATGGGGTCCGGCGTTTAGTAGCTGCAACAAGGGATGGTGGGCTGGACCTGTAGTTAAACTGTATCATGGCGCCCGGCGTTTAGTAGTTGCAACAAGGGGTGGTGAGCTGGACCTGTAGTTAAACTGTATCATGGCGTCCGGCGTTTAGTAGTTGCAACAAGGGATGGTGGGCTGGACCTGTAGTTAAACTGTATCATGGCACCCGGCGTTTAGTAGTTGCAACAAGGGATGGTGGGCTGGACCTGTAGTTAAACTGTATCATGGCGTCCGGCGTTTAGTAGTTGCAACAAGGGATGGTGGGCTGGACCTGTAGTTAAACTGTATCATGGCGCCCGGCGTTTAGTAGTTGCATCAAGGGATGGTGGGCTGGACCTGTAGTTAAACTGTATCATGGCGTCCGGCGTTTAGTAGTTGCAACAAGGGATGGTGGGCTGGACCTGTAGTTAAACTGTATCATGGCGTCCGGCGTTTAGTAGTTGCATCAAGGGATGGTGGGCTGGACCTGTAGTTAAACTGTATCATGGCGTCTCGGTGGACAACGCCATACAACCAGCTGTAGTCTAGCATATAGAACAAGACCTGAAACCGCCATTGAACCACGAGAGAAACTAGGTCATAGTCTCTTTATATGTTTTAATGTATTAGTTAACTTGTAAAATTAAATATATGTTAGCGGCACATACCGCCAGTACAAGACAGAAACCATCACTAAACTGTGACCCTGAGGTTGATGACGACACGCCAAACACTGTAACCACTGGTACCAACACTGGCGTGTGTCAACTGTCAGCGCTCTGACGACATTTCTGGGTACACAGTCTGACGAAACTGATCCATTGATATTTACTCCGCAGGACAAAAACATTCAAATTTGTCTCAGATCAGTACATGACTGGAAACTGGTGTGTTTATTACGGTTACTATGTACAGATACCAATGCCTGCACGTGGTACAATTTGGCCTATAAGAGAACTATAGGACATGTAGATTGTGGTTGGACCAGTGTCATATGCAGATATTGTGAAGGGTACTAGCATATGGAAGGTCAGAAAAAAGGAAACGTAAATAATGACCCTTAACCTTTCCCTGTACGTATATACTCTATACATATTATGATGACCTATGTGTTTAAGCGCCATTCCATTCTGGCAGTGAGCAGTGGTCGATTCTGTTTGGTAACAGGCTTAAAATAAACTAGTGTCCAAAAGAAACGATACCACGTGTTTCAAAGATCACTCAATTAAAACAAAACAACATAGACAATTCAAATTGATATCTTTCATTAGATAAATGATTTTACGGCATGTGTACAAAAAGTCATGGCAATCAAAGATTTACAATCATGAACACAGGGCTTTAAACGAAGTGTGGTGCCCAAAATTCAAAATTCATTTTAGCACAGTGGAGGAGGCTAGTGAGGGTAGTCTCTGAAAACAGTCTTAACGCCACTTTAGTACCGGGTATGTCCACCAGCAGCTGCGATACATGCCATGACATGCCTCCGAGCTGATGACGTCTTGTTCTTGAAAACGTCGGATGACGTTAGGGATGATTCGCTGCCACTCATCCTGGAGACAATGTTCCAATTGTTGGAGGTTGACTCGGGGCGTTTTCTGATTTTCCGATTGAGGTGATCCCAGATGTGCTCAATGGGATTCAAATCTGGTGAACACGCTGGCCATGACAAAACCTGTATGTTGGCGTTGGCAAGGAAGTTCTGGGTCAATCCTCCTGGATGCTGTTGGGCGAATGGCTGCACGACTGGTCGTAAAACCTCATCTTGGTAACGCTGTGCATTCAGGTTCCCCCGAATAATGACGAGCCTCGTTTTTACATCACCGCAGATACCTCCTCACACCATTGCACCTCCGCCTCCAAATGCATGGACTTGCTGGATGCAGTTCGGCGCCAAACGTTCACGAACTCTTCGGTATACTCGCTGCCGACCATCGTTCTTGTATAGGCAAAACCGGCTTTCGTCCGAAAACAAGACACGTGCCCAGTTTCGACATTGCCACCGCCGAACACGCCTGGCCCATATCAATCGGTTGACTGCTTTGACGTGTCAGGTAAACTCTGCGGTAGGGGCGACGTGCACGGATACCATGTGCCTGCAGTCTCCTGTAGACGGTTTGTCGACTGATCCGGTGTCCCAGTCCCGTCGCCGCCGTTAACGTCGCAGGAACGAAGCGGTTACGTAGGTGAAGTAACCGGATGTGGTTGTCTTGAATAGGCGTGGTCGCCCGGGGTCTCCCGCTTCTCAGCCTGACTGTTGTTCGGCCTGTTTGACGCAACCGTCGCATTAACCTGGTAACGGTTATGCGTGCGCATCCAAACGTTCTTGCTACAGCTGCGTGTGATGCTCGCTGTCGGACCATTCCAACGGCTCTTACTCTCTCGATCGCTGTCAAACGTGCCATTTCTTTAGTGTGCTTTTTTACTGCTGTGGGCACAACGTGTCGGACCAGCGGTTTTATACAGTTCATCTTCACGTGCACTTCGTGCAACACGACTTAACGTCATTTTGAGTATTCGTGCAATTGCTTCTTAAGTGAATCAATGTTACCGTTTTTTTCGATCGAATACGTTTGGTTAGGAACGTGGGATACACAGAAATATGTTTTTTCTCCAAAAAGTATCATTAATTTAAAAATATTGAAAAAAATATTTGGTATCGTTTCTTTTGGACATGAGTTTATGTACTGAGTCAAAACAGAAACTTCACAAAATGTAATTTGAAAAATAATGAATAATTTTCCTCTGATGATACATCTATGTATCCGAAATGGGATCCCTATCTTTTCTTCATATGCACGTGTTTGCATTGGCCTCAAGAATTGAAAAAACACTTTTCAACCACAGTTCTAACGGTACTTGAAATGCCACGATTGTCAAATGTGCAACGTGAACGTGCCGTTGGCATGTTGCAAGCGGGAAGATCAGTTATTGACGTCGCAAGAGCAATGGGATGCAGCCGTCGTACTGTGTATGACTTGCGAGGTCGTCTACAACAAACTGGCACCACTTCTGATCGCCCAAGGTCGGGTCGTCCACGTGTGACGTCACGAGCAGAAGACCGTCAAATCGTCCTACGTCACCTACGTGACAGATTTCTGCCGGCTACACGAACCAGGGCTGAGATGTTTAGAGGTCGACTGTCCTCACAGACCATTCGAAATCGGTTGCGGGCTGCCAATCTCCATTCTCGACGTCCATATCGTGGGCCAATATTGACGCCGTTTCATCAACGTCAACGTCTGCTGTGGGCCCAACGTCACCTCCGATGGACCCAGAGAGACTGGAATCGAGTCGTCTTTAGCGATGAATCCAGGTTTACCCTCAGATTCGCGGACGGCAGGTATAGAGTCTGGAGACGACGTCGTGAACGGTATGCCCAATGTTGAGTACAGAAAGTCGACAGATCCGGGGGCGGAAGTTGCATGGTGTTGGGTGCTTTCTGTGGGAACAACCGTTCCCGACTTCTGGTCATCCGTGGAAACCTCACAGCTGCTGCTTATCGCGACCAGGTGCTCACCCCTGAACTCGTTCCTTTCATGGCGGCTCATGGCTCAGGTCTACAGGTCTACAGTTCCGCATACCGCGATGTTGACACGAAATTTCCTTCAAAACGCTGGAATCAACGTCATGGACTGGCCATCGAGGTCCCCTGACCTTAATCCGATAGAGCACGTTTGGGATGCACTTGGGGGAAGGCTTCGTGGTCTTAGGAACCAACCTCAAAATTTGCAGGAACTTGGCGCTGCCTTGCAAAAGCAATGGCGCAGAATCCCCAACCACGTGTTCACAAGCATCAGGCAGTCGATGAGGAGACGGGGTTTGGCAGTGGTGAATGCGCGGGGCGGCCATACACGATATTGAACTGAGAAATTTCGCATTTTTATTCTTCTGACTTGCCATTCTGTATACCCATGTTTTGGAACGGCGGTGTAGCCTAATGGAACTGATTATGGCACTGTCAGTGTATCGAGTACATCACACAGATCTCAGCAATGAAATAATAACAATTTAACCATCTCAACCATCTTTTGGTCTTTTATAGTGCCCTGAAGAAAGAATGTGAAGTTTCTTTTTTGACTCAGTATATATTTTTCTTCCTCTAAGCTACGCCATTTTACACAACAATCGTCTCTATTAACACGTAGGTTCTAAAGCGCTCGGTTCTAAATAAAATACAGTTATCGAGTCTGTGGTGAGACAACCTCAGATTTCGACATTTTTTTCTCATAAATATACACCCACCCACTCTTAACCGTATCAAACTTCGCGAATCTGTTATAAGCGTTGTGTTTTCCTTTTTTCAGGTTCATCAAATTGTGAACCAGAGGCCGTACAACGTGGATATGAAACCAATGTATGTCACTACAAAACAGAACAATCAATATTAAAATGTTCTCGGGATGAAGCAATGTTAGTTTTGAAACTTTTACAAAGAACTGAAACTGACTGTAGTCCAAATGGCGATGGATGTTGTAAATACAAGAGAGATGACAAACTGTACGATATCGGAGGGTGTTTGTTGAACCAGAGTGATACTGGTCACAAGACAGTGTATCAGTCAGCGCTGCGCGAGGTTCTGGAGGAGTGCAGTCAGAGGAGGTACTGCCTGTTGGAGAGTCGGGGCACCCACCTCCACAGCCTCCAGAACACCACCCTGGGGGGACTGCGTCCGTCAGCCGTGCTGGTCAACCACGAATGTGTGAAAGGTAATTAGTTGATTGCTATGCTGACATAGATCCTTATTTTGAGACAAAGTAGCAAAACCAGTACATTGGATTCATTATTACAGTGTCAGCGGTATGCACGACGAGGAATATTTCAGAGGAATTCCTGAGTTGAAGATGGTCCTAATCATTTAAATATTTTCAATATATACTCAGCGTCGTGGCTGGTTGTGGACCTGTAGCGGACCTGCTGGTCAGGCATGTGTGCCCAGTGTCTTCCACTGGCGGGAATCCATGCTCATATTTTCAGTAATGGTAAATTCTGTCCCGATTATAACAAGGCATCATAACGTAGCTTATACTGGCTTTCAGAAAATATTCTTCACTCACTCACACAACTGACAAACAGCAAGGAAATAATCAGGGGGAAAATATAGCCTGTAAATGTAGAAACATGTCATATTCCTCCACAATGCCGATTGCTTCTTTGATTTTTAATACCGCACTATTGACATCGTGGTTGTAAATAACTTGTGTCATTCTAACACAGAGGAGGAATCAGTGAAATTGTGCCGGAACAAGGTAAGAACTGGACCACATATCTATATCGGTCTGGATCAGACGATGACGTCACCAAGAGAGACATGCTCGTGTACAGTAAAGGGAGGTAGCCGCGTCCAGCTGCTCGATGTCCGGCTAGGAGAAGGCCACAGCAGACTGACCCTCAGAGAAGACGACGACACATTTCTCACTGTCAGTGGCGATGACGTCCAGTTCATGCAGATGAGGGAGTTCTTCATATCAGAATGGAGTTTACACCTGGATGTGGACAGGGAGAGGCGTCCACACAGTGTCTGGGTCAAAGTAGAAGGTACTGTACTCTGTCATGACGTATTTGTCACAACATCGCCTATATATCGTTCATATATCTCTTTTACCTTACATATTGTTGTAAATCGTATCCTCGTTTCTTTCACCTGGGCTTCCCACTGACTCGTTTCTGTCAAGGAAAGTTATGTTCTCTATAATCCAAGCTTCATAGATCTGATATGATCGAGGATATTTGTATTGGAAAACTGCGGACAACATAAACTATATACATCCTATTACTGTCCTTGGTGGTGGATAAACGCGAAACAAGCAAGACATGCCTATTGTGAAGTTATCAAGTGTGTACATATTTTGCTCGGGAGGTTAGTTTGAGACGCTGCGTTAGGAAGCATTGTTAGGCTGTTTCAGGAAGCCTCTGGCGGTAGTCGGCACCAGGTACGAGGGTCGATCAAAAAGTGCGTAGCCTAACTATAGTCTCGATGTCCAATGTTTGAAAAGCTTTCATTTTATTTTGAAGGAATCGTTAGCAAAGCCATATCTAAAATTTCACATGTGTGGGTAATGTGGTTATCCAGATATTTGTCATCACAACACATTTGGGTATAATATTTCTAACAAAATTGCAGAAAATGAAAAACGATTTTCTTTTGGTACCTGTTGGATAATGGTATGCCCTCAGATAATGTCATATAAAATATGTTCAGTATAGTATTGGATGACTTCTCGTCATGATCAACAGTCAAAGATTTGAATTGCCTAATTTATATTTAGTCGGGGGCTATTTCTTAAGGACACCCCCATTGTAATCTTTCAAAAATAATGTGTCCAGATATTCAAGCTGGCACTGTTTATAATATGTTGTAAGCTGACGCTTGTGTGACCATTCAGTATTTAGTTTGAACCCTTGGCATCATGTGAAAACATTAGAATAAGCTATGCCCTTATGATTACGTCATCTGAAAGGGGGATGGGTAGTGTCTCCCCAAAAACTCTTTCAGTCAACATGAAGGGGGAGTCACTTTTAACAAGCCATTGTAATTTCAAATTGTTGTTTTATGAACTGTAATATCTAGGTGTGATTCTAGGGGACTTCTGTCAATCTCGAACACACAAAATATTTCTTGCATATTTTGTTTCCTGAAGTTTTTGATGCATTTATTTTAGATTTTGCGTTTTTGGGGGATACCAAGATAAAAGGTCAAACAAAATGGGGATCGTGAGACTGGAACATAGCAAAACCAAATTGCGTCAGCTTGACAGATAATATGTAGAAAAATATAACATTAAAATAACTGCATTGTTTCGTTTTCTTGGTGATTCTACCTACTTTTTGATCGCCCCTCGTACATGTCTATTGTTGAGTTCGCATCCAGATTAGATCTGGTTATAGTCTTGGTTTGTCAGATTAGCTCTGGTTATAGTTCTGGTTTGTCAGATTAGCTCTGGTTATAGTCTTGGTTTGTCAGATTAGATCTGGTTAGAGTTTTGGCTTGTCAGATTAGCTCTGGTTACAGTTTTGGTTTGTCAGATTAGATCTGGTTAGAGTTTTGGTTTATAAGATTAGATCTGGTTATAGTTTTGGTTTGTCAGATTAGATCTGGTTATAGTTTTGGTTTGTCAGATTAGATCTGGTTATAGTCTTGGTTTGTCAGATTAGCTCTGGTTATAGTTTTGGTTTGTCAGATTAGATCTGGTTACAGTCTTGGTTTGTCAGATTAGATCTGGTTATAGTTTTGGTTTGTCAGATTAGCTCTGGTTATAGTCTTGGTTTGTCAGATTAGATCTGGTTATAGTTTTGGGTTGTCAGATTAGCTCTGGTTACAGTTTTGGTTTGTCAGATTAGCTCTGGTTATTGTTTTGGTTTGTCAGATTAGCTGTGGTTATATTATAGTTTTGGTTTATAAGATTAGATCTGGTTATAGTCTTGGTTTGTCAGATTAGATCTTGTTATAGGTTTGGTTTGTCAGATTAGCTCTGGTTACAGTCTTGGTTTGTCAGATTAGATCTGGTTATAGTTTTGGTTTGTCAGATTAGATCTGGTTAAAGTCTTGGTTTGTCAGATTAGCTCTGGTTATAGTCTTGGTTTGTCAGATTAGCTCTGGTTACAGTCTTGGTTTGTCAGATTAGATCTGGTTATAGTTTTGGTTTGTCAGATTAGATTTGGTTATAGTCTTGGTTTGTCAGATTAGAATCTGCGCATTCATGGGGTTCATCAAAGTAGTGCACCCCGGGCTGCCTTTCACACCAAGCTGTCTCTCCTGGTTATATCTCAAATATTGCTCAGTCAGCGTTATTTCCACTTCACTCACTCACACCTCCGTATGATGCTACTCCCGTAACTCACTGGTTTTGTTTTGTCAGGATCCGGGAATTCTACAGTTCAAGTCACATGCAGTGGTAGGTGCATATAATTTCATCATTGAACATTTTTCTCCTTGTTTAGCTGTATAAGTGATGAGTGTTTTCTAGTAGGTTGCCCTGCTTGCATATTAGTTCGTCTACTTACATTCCTCTATTTGCCTTCCTCTACTTAGATTCCTCTATTTGCATTCCTCTACTTACATTCCTCTACTTGCATTCCTCTACTTACATTCCTCTACTTGCATTCCTCTACTTACAATCCTCTACTTACATTCCTCTACTTACATCCCTCTACTTACACTCTCTACTTACATTCCTCTACTTACAATCCTCTACTTACATTTCTCTACTTACATTCCTCTACTTACATTCCTCTACTTACATGCAATCTGTCGTTATTCAGAGACGCACGCAGCCACCTCCTCGTCCTCATCAGAAGCACCAACGACTACACCTCCAACACCAGCACTTCCTGTACAGCCGAGCCCGTCCGCAAATTGTAAGTTGGAACCACTTACTGACCAACGTATTTTAAGAGTGAACCACTCTCATTTCTGAACCATCCTCTTTCTTGTCTATTTTATACTGGAACCGCTGTATACCGCCCGTTTTGTCTGAAACGACATTGTCGAACCACTGTCGAACGTGCCTTGGTTATTATCTGCCTCAAATGTTTTATTTCTGAACTTATCTACGTTTCTGATCTGTATCACTATCTGCTCCACGTTTTCCAAATCTGAACCACTGTCTGAAACAGTATCTGTGATCTGCTTCTGGTCTGAACCACTATCTGCTCCAAGTTTTCCAAGTCTGAACCACTCACTGTCGTGTGTTCCAAGTCTGAACCACTCACTGTCGTGTGTTTCAAGTCTGAACCACTCACTGTCATGTGTTTCAGGTCTGGACCACTATCTGTTGTGTTTCAGGTCTGGACCACTATCTGTCGTGTGTTCCAAGTCCGAACCACTCACTGTCGTGTGTTCCAGGTCTGGACCACTATCTGTCGTGTGTTTCAGGTCTGGACCACTATCTGTCGTGTGTTCCTAGTCTGGACCACTATCTGTCGTGTGTTCCAAGTCTGAACCACTCACTGTCGTGTGTTTCAGGTCTGGACCAATATCTGTCGTGTGTTCCAAGTCTGAACCACTCACTGTCGTGTGTTTCAGGTCTGGACCAATATCTGTCGTGTGTTTCAAGTCTGGACCACTATCTGTCGTGTGTTCCAAGTCTGAACCACTCACTGTCGTGTGTTTCAGGTCTGGACCAATATCTGTCGTGTGTTTCAGGTCTGGACCAATATCTGTCGTGTGTTTCAGGTCTGGACCAATATCTGTCGTGTGTTTCAGGTCTGGACCAATATCTGTCGTGTGTTCCAAGTCTGAACCACTCACTGTCGTGTGTTCCAAGTCTGAACCACTCACTGTCGTGTGTTTCAGGTCTGGACCAATATCTGTCGTGTGTTTCAGGTCTGGACCAATATCTGTCGTGTGTTCCAAGTCTGAACCACTCACTGTCGTGTGTTTCAGGTCTGGACCAATATCTGTCGTGTGTTTCAGGTCTGGACCACTATCTGTCGTGTGTTCCAAGTCTGAACCACTCACTGTCGTGGGTTTCAGGTCTGGACCAATATCTGTCGTGTGTTCCAAGTCTGAACCACTCACTGTCGTGGGTTTCAGGTCTGGACCACTATCTGTCGTGTGTTCCAAGTCTGAACCACTCACTGTCGTGTGTTTCAGGTCAGGACCAATATCTGTCGTGTGTTTCAGGTCTGGACCAATATCTGTCGTGTGTTTCAGGTCTGGACCAATATCTGTCGTGTGTTTCAGGTCTGGACCACTATCTACCGTACGTGTTTCTGGTTCTTGGGCTGACATGTGGTTTCCTAACAGGAGTTGTCCTCGCTGTGTACAGTAAGAGGTAGGTTAACTCTACCACTAGGTGGGGTAGTTGTGTTGACGGAGCGTTGGTGTTAAACCGAGAGACAGAATGTCAGACTTACTTGATAACGTTGTAATGTATATCTGTCTCCTTCAGATTTCTGAATCGATCGCGGTTCAAGAAGAAGCCTCCGTCCGCCCCTTGTGTTGCCCCGGTGAGGAGCCCCGAGGAGCCTGTGTACTCGCTGCCCTACAACCACCAGGGGAAACTAATTGTAGTCAGGTCCATGAGGAAACAACGCGGTTTCCATGGTAACACCCAGTCAAACCACAGTTATTCATCTAATCCAACCATTGACAAGGAATTTGTGTACACAAAGGTAATGTATGAATATAAATAAACGTGTAACGATTGACAAAATTAAATCATAATGTAATATTTCTCTTTCAAAATCAAATGCATTATATAAACACGTTATCCTGTTGAATTAAAATTATCAGGAATAGATTATCATCCTAATTTATAGTTTACAAACATTGTATTATTCCATTACGTAAGTTCTTGTATCATACAATGCTATGATCATTTATATTTAGGGTGAAGCTCCCGCTTCAAGTGTGTAGAATCGAGATCCTCCATGCAAACAGTTAATTTCTACCGGGTACCCACTTACTGCTATCAAAGCCGATCGACGAACACCTGTTTTCAGTGATGTAACAAAATTCGGACGCTACACCAGCGAGCACAGAACCTTAGAATCTCACAGACCTACACACATGAAAGGCCTGATGGCTCACTCCTTCCATTGCTCAACATTCTGGTGGCGTACTGGGACCTGCAGAACACAGGGAAACACAGTTGACAGTTGTATACGAGTGTTATCTACACGGCTGTTATTAATGTCCGTTGTCTCGTGCTTAATTTTACACTGCCAGTGATATGAATCTATATGAACGCGAGTCCTTTTCATTGTTTTAGCGAAGGCAGTTCGTTGAACAGGATTAATGCCTTTACTATGCATCGTATTTTTACTGTTTTGTCGCATGTAGGAGTGGAATAATTAGAAGTCATTTTACCCATTGTTAACCTGTACCGGCAAACCCCATTGTTAGGCTGGTTTCTTGAAAGGGACTCCACATATTTACAAAGGGAGACTACTCCATACCCACTGTACAGGAACTATCCTCAAACTTCGACTATGGGCAAGGGTTGTGTTGGCATCTAAGGTAGAATGGCAACACATCCAGCCAGCTTCATGAGGGCAATGTCAAACGCTGCATTTAAAATAGCATTCAACATTTTAGTCTCAGAAAGTTTGAGAGGTAACGCTGATGCATGTATTAGTTGCTTCTCGACGCTGGACATTTCATTGTTATCTGTGTGTTTACACGTGAGCCTGTTTTTATTATCTATGTTGTAAATATTTAATCCAATTGCTATATACTGCCAGTATCACCGTCCATTATTAATAAACCAATACATTCTCAGATTTTGCTGAATAGTACGACATCGAAATATATACGTATTTCATGTCAGAGCATGATGGGCATTTTATGGGCGCTTTATTACGGTAGCGCCATGCATTTGGCATTGAAAACCCGTTTATTTTAATTCTCCACTTCCACGGGATGCCCTTATGTGGGTTATACTCTTATAGATCTATCTGTTTCCTACACTCGGCAACATGAATTTTACAAGTTATGAGTCTATACAAGTTTTGAGGGAATTCATTCGATACCAAGAACTTTCGACAGGTCAAAGAATCAAGGTGGACCAGTTTTGGTCCTGGGCCAGTGAACTACATGACCTTGGAACAAGTTCCTATTGTCCAGGGTACCCGACCAGGGCCCCATTCCTCAGAGCTATCATAGAGCTACGACAGTCGTAAGTCTATGTTAAAGTATGGAAGTTACGATCATCATAGCGCTACGATCGCTTTGAGGAACAGGGCCCTGGGACAGTGGCGCTCACGGGAACAGGACAGGACACTAGATCACGTGTCACACGCACACGCACGCACGCACACACACATTGCTTATACACTCAAAGAACAAATCTATAAAAATATTTTCAAGTGTAATATAAGGCCATATTGCAACACGTTGTTGTGATGGAAAATCATGTTGTATTTGTTGACCTGTTTATAAGCAGAATAAATATCTTTATTTTTCGTTACGAGGAGTTTGATTGTCTTTTGTACGGTCAATATATCCACGCTGTGGCCTGGGATAAATGGAAATAAGGTATATTAGGAACCGGACATGTCTTTTCTGGATGGGCAAAATGATACAGTATATATATAGCGTGTACAGATGTGTACAAGAAGTGTGTACAGGTGTGGGATTCGGGTTGGGTGTACAGGTGTGGGAATCGGGTGGGTGTACTGGTGTGAGATTCACGTGTTGTGTACAGGTGTGTGATTTGGGGGAATGCACAGGTGTGGGATTCGGCTGGGTGTATAGGTGTGGGATTCAGGTGTACAGGTTTGTGATTTATGTCGGGTTTAGAGGTGTGAGATTCGGGTTGGGTACAGGTGTGGGATTCGGGTGTGGTGTACAGGTGTGAGATTCATGTGTTGTGTTGAGGTGTGTGATTCGGGTTGGGTGTACAGGCATGGGATTCATGTGTTGTGTACAGGCATGGGATTCATGTGTTGTGTACAGGTGTGGGATCGCGTGGGGTGTACAGGTGATATTCACCACCAAGTCATTCACCACGCTATTAACTAAAACATCACGATTTGATTGTAAATCTTAATCTTAACTCACTCATCAACTGGGCGTATTTTTTAGTATATTTTATTATTGCAACGTGTTCACCCTGTTTTGTGCAATTTAAATTTACTTTCGGTTTGAGAAAAGCTGCATGGATCAGGTCAGACCAACTCTCCTGCTAAAACTTTCTGTCACCGAACATTGCGGAAGATTTAAAGTGACACAGCATACATTAGATCACAAGGTCACTGTGTTGGGTACGAGACGTTCAGTCGTGAGGCCGTCGTGAGGGACCAGTATCACGGAGTGGTACAATGGTGAAACCACTGACGGGGTAATTGTTCCCCTCCGTACTTTCGGTAGTGAGTAGCACGTCCGCCCGCCCGGTTGCCCAGCCTGCACCTATAAACAGCCTGCACTCGCCATGTTTGTTCACAATGCTGTAGGCCAGTTTTTAGTTTAAGGATTTTGATAGTGAGGACTTTGTTCTGCAGATCGATTATTTGACAAACAAAATTTTGGGAACGGAAGGTGATAGACGTAACGGAGTAGTTTGGCCTGGTCATTATATTGTATTTCTGAAATCTGACCCCGGTATATTTAATGACGTTTTTAGTGTCAGAAGGATCGTTACAGTGGGCGGTAAAACACAAGCTTGTCATTCTGCTGATACTTTTTTCTGAAGTTTCCATATATAAGGTCCACAGATCCGCAAACCGATGAATCCCGTCCAAATGTGGAAATGATCCAAAACACATGCAAAGGCCTCCTCAACGCGCCCCGTCAAACAATATAACAACATTATATCAACGTGGTAAGTTCGGGACTTATGATACTTATCTATGCTTGGTAAGATCGGGAATAAGATGTTTAATTATTACTTTCGCAGTGTTTAGGTTTCTAATCATACTTGTAAAGCGTGTCAGTTTGATCATGGTGACACATGTCACGGTCGTTGATAGCTCTGATGTACATTATGTGTACAGATATTGTATTCAGAGTGATTCTATTCGGAGAGATTCTGGCTCAGTAAGACCAGCGGATCCTGGTAAGGGTCGCATCTCTGCACCACGCATGGCACCTGGGATGCTAAAAGTGTTGGATTTACTGCTTAAAAAGCCGCACTCAGCAATATTCCAGTATTAAGACCGCTGCCTGTAAATCTGGACCAGACAATCCAGTCATCGATATTGTGAGTATAGGGTGACGATGACACACATTCAAGTAGCCGAGTCTGGCCGCCCGATTCCCCACGACCCGCATGGGTTGATGGGGACCTGATGGGAATTACCCTGGGATGTGAAACTGCGAGTGAAACTACTTGTGTATATGAAAGCCTGGACTTGTACAAGTTTCTAAAGTAATAATTAATAGTTTTAAATGAAAATTTCTAAAATATATATGATAAATAACAGACTGGCGTCCTTAGAATGTCCGCTTATCTAGACTTGTCTCTTGAGAGGATAGAATTACTATACATGGGCTTAACATCCAGTAAAGCCTTGGAGAAGGCGACTGAAACTCGTACTGCTTGAGACACTAACACAGTTAAACTAACAGGATGTATGTCCTATTGTGTACGGTGATTGTCCGGAGGAATGAACTTGATCTCCACATCTATCTTGGTGACACAGTTTAGTGTTGAAAAGTCAGCTATTTATGTCTACTGGGTTTCACACGGCCTAATTGTTTAGTCAAATAGTCAATTCGCGTCCTACTCACATGAACTATACTGAACCACAAAAGAAACGCCGCCTTTCAAAACCAAATGCAAAATTTTCTTCTTACAAGGTGGTGTTTTATTATGATTGTGTCGTTTTGTTAACATGTTGTTCAATCCAAATTGACAGTTATTACCAACATCAGTGCATTTTCTGATGAAAAAAGCATATCGACCAAACGCAGTTAAAGGCAGACGTGGTAAAAGGTTCCGTATGACATTCGTGAAAATGAAAATGCATTTGCATATTGTTACAACCCAATCAATGAAAGCGAGTCTCAAACTCGCCTGAAATCATGTTTGACACGACTTACGAGAGATCAGACGATTACAAGTTGGCCAGACTGCACGGAGGGTAGCCAAACATTTTAATGTTCATTTAGGACAATCTTTCGACTGCACGAGCGGTATCAGGCAATTAATAGCACCCAAGACCGTCCACGTAATTGGGCGACCTTCTTCTTTAACATCACAACGTCAATTTTTATTACAATTTGCGTCAAGTTACAGTTACAGTTTGCTGCAGTATTACAATTTGCGTTTTAGTACAATTTACGTCTATGCTATAAGCAACTGTACCTCCGCATGACAAGTATTTTGTCACTTTGATGTTTGAATTGACAGTGAGGTGTTGATAATGTCTGCATAAATTATTAACATGACAGAGTCACAGAACCTGCATAAGTTGGAGTACTGGTGTAGTGTTCCAATAACTAATATAGAGTTCATAACATACTTATTCTAAATAATTCAACAGGTGCATCTTTCAACACCTATTTATAAAAACAGCATTTCCTCCATTTAAGATCTTCATCAGTCGTGGTTAGAGCTTGCTCGAAACTCACATCTTTTGAATATAGAACAAAATGTACAGAGTTTTCGCTCTCAAATTATTTCTAGTTTTGTTTAACAACAAGTTAGAGTTCCAAGCAAGTCATCCATCCAAGACGTCACATTAAGTGAGATAACCCTGCTCGTCTTGTGACCTCTGGAATCGATGTAACTTCTAGATTATATAAGTTCCTCAATCACCTCGTTTGAGACCAGCTAATTACTCGCCAGAAAGAGAAAGTTGCCTTCCTTAATCCCGCATGTCGTGCTGACTCGTGGATAGGAAATTATGCCATTCCGAGCCTTTTATATGAAGATAAATACGAACCGGAGATTGACTGGTCTCTTGCCGTTGTATGCTGAACGGCCACAAAAGAAACGTCGCACCGGTAGCGTTTCTTAAAGCACACACTTTAATTCCTCTTGTTAACAATCAAAACTGAGGATTGAGTTCAAACTTGACAGTGCCCACATTTACAGGAATACTGACTACGCAGTTCACACACAATGAAATCACCAAAATAGTACCATTAAGATACCCCAAAGTCAGTATCGTGTATGGCCTCGTGGGCATGATGATAGTGTTGCATTGTTCGTACACGCGATAGAATCAGCCGCTTGTTGAAGGTCATGGGCATACTGAATATGAGATTTTGTAGTATCGTGATACGTCTCGTATCGCCATCCTTATCGGGATTCGTATCGTATCATAGCTTATTAAAATGTACAATACTTTGCTTAGCTCATCGTCATTCAGAAATGTTATTATCGTGGATGCATCGTATCGCAAGTTCTTATGCCAATACCAGCACGAATAATTGCAGTGGCTCAAGGGTGAAAATAGATACTTGGCGGACTAAAGCACGAAACTTTGCAAAGTGCTGGGGAATATCATGATAAAACATACTTTTGGGGCGTGCCCGATTTTTTTGGCCCATTCTCGAAAAATCCAAGATGGCGTCCAAGATGGCCGCCAAAAATCAAGATTTCAAGTTCTGTGCTCTGTCACTTTTCCCGGCTGGATTAAAAGCAGAAAACCTTGCACAGTGCTGGGGAAAATCATGATAAAGCTATATTTCTTTGGGTGTGCCCGATTTCTTTGGCCTAATGTCCACTAAAACACAAGACGGACGCCAAAAATAAAGAAAAGGCCACCGAGAATAGTGTGACATTTATAAAAAATCTTCATTGTTGCAATATATATGAGATATATTCGTCGTTCAAAGAGCTATTCTAACACTTTCACGAAATACAACAAACACGATTTATGTTTGAGTGAGTGAGTGAGTGAGTTTAGTTTTACGCCCGCACTCAGCAATATTCTATATAGCGGCGGTGCAAAATATCGAAGTCCTGGACCAAGACAATCCAGTGATCAACAGCATGAGCATCGATCTGCGTAATTAGGAACCGATGATATGTGTCAACCAAGTTAGCGAGCCTGACCACCCGATCCCGTTAGTCGTCTCTTACGACAAGCATGGGTTACTGAAGAATTCTAACGGAACTTCACGGGTTGATTTTGTTTAGTAGTCAGTCATGTGACATCATTTTGTCAAACATCGATCATTCTGACATGATTCTGTCAACATCGATCTCTATGATTCTTTAAGCAGTTCCTTTCTGGAATAGAATATGCATAGTTGGAGAAGATTTACAAATGCAGTACTTTGAGCATAGAGGTTGAGACTTGCAGCCACATTTGATAATGTTGTTGGATAATGGTACCAGCGACCTATTTTAACGAAAACCTATTTACAACAGACACTATTTCAAGCTCTTCCAAACCAGAAATTTATTATTTTCTACTTCCTGGCAGTTACTGTATAGTTCCATGGCAAGCTACGTCTGGAGAGAGTTAGTGTGTCTGGAACTCATCATCAAGTCGAGGCACATCACCAAAGCTAAAGACGAATGTTGGATCAAGCACTGCATTTGCCTTCTTGCTAAAGAACATTTGGAAGAGGATGAGTTTATTGCCTGGTGCATTTCATGCTTCTCGTCAATCCAGGAACAGGTTGCAGCAGGAGTAAGTTCTCTCCTTCCTCTCTTTAACGAAAAAGCAGCAATTCTTGCTATGGTTAGACATAGTATGTCTGTCATCAAGACAGTCACAGAACATTGTCATGGATGTAAACCAACCACTTTTTGTGCTAGCAAAATATTTTCAATGGCGATGGCCTAATGTGTTTGGTGAGGACGTGTACACTATCATGCTTGGAGGTCTTCCAATGGTTGGGGACTTGTTGGAAGATTCTGGGTGAACTTCAGCACTAACAGAAGCGGGTATTGCCTCAAGTGGAACAGCTGAATCTTTCATTTCGTCTCATGTTACACAGACATGCTCATCAAATAGCTGCCATACGACAAGCAAAGCTTACATGTCCTCACTGGAACCGCATGTTCAACAATCATTTGAAGACTGGCTGGGCAAATTGGATCTCAGGAAAGAGTCCAACATTCAAATACTGGGATTTGATCCTTCATCTTGAGACAATGATACCAATCTTTGTGAAGTCCCATCGTGAAAGAAATATGTCTCTGTACATCCAGTTAATGGAACAAATTGTCCCTTGGTTCTTTGCTCTTGATCACACCAACTATGCACGCTGGCTGTCAGTTCACATCGGAGATATGAAAGCCCTGCCTGTTGACAGCAGAGCGTCCCTTCAGAGTGGTTGGGTTTTCTCAAAAATGCCAAACACATTTTCTGTCATGCTTTGGTTGTAACACACTCAGTTGGTGCAGTTGGATTAACAGAAAATGTTGCCAAACTGCAAAACAGATCAGAGCTCTTACATTATCTTGCATAACCTGAGTATGACTCTGTTCGAGACAACACGAGAAACGCGAAGAAAAGGCAGTAGAAGAAAAGTTCCCGTCGTATTAGATTACCTATGATCTTTGCTTCTTTTCTGAAAGAATCAAAGGACAAAGAAAAACCCTTTGCATTCATAACAGATGGTGTGGCTAGCAGCTCGTACCAACCAGCAAAGGTGGTGTTCATAACAGCTGTGCAGTCAGTGGTGACAGTAGGAAGTGAAGTGAATACAGTGCACTGATCAGGAAGAGGTGAAAACCAGAATCTGCATTTATGCCAAAGATGCTTTGCAAAAAGGTGTACAAACATTATGGTTAGCACTGTCGACACAAATGCTGTTGTCCAAACTGCTGGTCTGCTTATGGTTGGCTGTGAGGTGTCATTAGGAAAGGAAAAACTTTTAGATATTATCACATCAACAGAATATTCCAAGATCTTGGCTGTCGAAGATGAGTGGCGCTTCCTTTTTTCCACACATTCACTGGTTCTGACATATCATGGAAAAGGCAAGAAAATTGCTTGGAAGACTTCGATATCCTGTGAGGATGTGACTGAGAGATTTCCTTTTCCTGCACAGCATCCATTCCAACCTGTGGACAAAGACTCAGATGTGTTTTCATAAGCTGTGTTTGACAGCACTACATCTGTATTGCTTTTTAGCAATATTCCAGCAATATCACGGCGGGGACACCATAAATGGGTTTCACACTTTGTACCCATGTGGGGAATCGAACCCGGGTTTTCGACGAGACGAGCGAAAGCTTTAACCACTAGGCTACCCCACCGCCTCAATAGCCCTTTGAACGACGAATATATTCATATATTGCAACAAATGAAGATTTTTTTTAGTCGTCGACCATTCTGGGTGGACTTCAGCACTCTTTGATTTTTGGGGAAAATAGGCCCAAGAAATCGGGCACACTGAAAAATATGTTTTGTCATAATTTTCCCTAGCACTGTGGAAGGTTTTCTGTTATAATGCAGCGGGGAAAGTCAAATAGTGTTAGAAGTGGAAATCTTTGATTTTGGCGGCCATCTTGGACGCCATCTTGAATTTAATCGGAAAGTGGGCCCCAAAATCGGGCGCCCCCAAAAAATATGTCTTAGCATGATATTCCCCAGCATTTTGCGAAGTTTCATGCTTTCGGACCTAAGCCACTGCACTATAGCATATTCGTAAAGAGCGTTCCACGGGGACATAACTCTATGGGGTTCGCTTGAAATAAAGTTTGGTCGGTTAAGCGCGCGAGTCGATTTAATGTAACGTTGCATTTAATTCATTCAAACTTTTAATTTCATCTTGTAATCTTAATACGTATTTTTTCGGAATAAGCTGGGGATGGATAGTTAGTACTAATGAGAGAAATAAAATATTGCTTTGAAGAGAAGTGTGGCGTGACAGTGTGCCTGTAAAGCCGGAAATAATCCCCGTCAACGGTTTTACCCGAGTGTAGAAAACGGGAAATGTTTTGACGCCACAACCCCTGGTGTGTGCCACCAACCATGAGGCCCATGAGGGTGTCAACAACACTACTGGTACTAATGGTGTCCTATTGTTCTGGTGAGTAGATTAATGAGCGTGAAGAACAATTTCTGCTGTTAATCAAATATCTGCTTGTAGAGAATGATAGTACGTGGCTATCACTACAGTTGTCTTTCCAACATGGATGACCCAGTCGTATCCCCGACAAGCACATTTACCTGAGATCGACTCTGACCCAAGTTCTATTGTCATTGTTCCAAACGTCAGAGGCGTGCATCACTTCCTCCCGATAGTATAACAGAAAGTGTTGTCTGAAGGGGTTAAACAAAGCTCACTCACTCACTCCTTGACGGGGTTAAACCACACTCACTCACTTACTCACTCCTGGTCGGAACAACACTCATAGTTCTAACATCTGAGATGTGTTCTTCCTGGCCACCAGCGAGGTAGAATTAAATTAAAACTCTTTTCAGTTTAGAAATTTCGTGGCTTCAATTGAATTTTACAGATTTCGAATGGAAGTTGGAAACCACCACACTGAACACAGTTCATTTATCTATATTCTACCCAGACACAATTATTCGAGATTAGATAGCATCGGTAGAGGGTATTTTCAGTAGGTTGAAAGGGTAATTCACGCATCAGTGAAGATAAATAGTTGTTAGCATAAATGTTCATATTAGCATATGAATCTTTTCCATAGCCGCTTCATTGAGACAAAACGTTGGTACATGTTCAGTAAATATTATTCAAAACAACTTACCAGGAGAAAATGATGCTACCTATAGAGGTTAAAATCTAACTTGCATACCACTGCTCTCACATGCCTTGTTTCTGACGGTAGTGTAAGCATTCTGACGAACAGACATGACGTCACTACAAGGGCTAGATAGGTGTTGATGTGACTGAATATTTCAATACACTCTTCAACGTTTTCTCCTGAACATTTGTTGTGTACGTGAGGCAAGGTCCGAACGGGTGTGTTTGCTGGAGAAGGGTCTCTGAAAAAATCTCCTCTACTGCGATGCGGTAATAATCGTGGTGCTTTAACCCACATTACACTATCTTGATACCCACATCACCAAATAGGTGGACATAGTGTTTCCAAGTTCAATCTCATTTTTTCTCTGAACTCATGTGTCATGTAATATTTTATTCATGCGTTAAATTAGCGTTGAGTACACGAGAAGATGTGTGGAGGAAATAAAAAAACTATGTTCAGTGCATTTCTTTATTTCCACTTGTCCCATGGTATAGCCTTTGCATGTGTTTGTGACGAGAGTCAGTGGTTGGGCCGGATCTCTCGTCTCATCAGTATTTCACAGTCACTCACTAATCTTAAGTCGGACTTAATCTTAATCTTAATCAAATTGGACTCAGATATTTGTTATGAATAAAATGAATGTTGTTTTAATTGTACTTACTTGTTACTGAAATGTTGTTATATTGTGAAATGCTTGTACTGTGACGATTACAAAGGATCACGTGATAGGCCAGGGATATTCTCCAGTACAAAATCTTTGATACAGTGTAAAACCAGCAAACGGAGAAATGTAATAAACGTAAATTACAGTACGGCATTAACTAAGTTTACAATGCAATAGAAATTACCGCAAAGTGATTACAATGGCGGTATACAATAGTGTGGTAATACAATCTGTTGGCCTTGATGTAATGTGAGATAATATGGGCATGTGGTTGCCCCTTGTATAGTCTTAAATACTGCTACATGATCTGTATGTACCATGGCAGAATATCTGTGTTGTGTTTATACTTTCCAGATGAGACTTGACCTCCACACCATCTAATTAACGCAACTTCCACACCATTATTTACGTCCGAAAGTTATACATTCCTGTAACATGTTATATTTGGGGTACCACTTTCTCAATAAAGTACAGATTCTAGTACTTTGGGGGGATTTAGTCCCATCCTGGATTCGAACCTACTACAACCAGCACACAAAGTAAGTGATCTACCCCTCAGCCACCGTGGCTCCTACAAATATGGAAGTCGCACAACTGGTAGTCAAGGTCACGTACTTCCTGAAAGCCGCGGTGTCTCGACCACACATGGGTTGACACTACTCATCTGTGCAACTTGGATACCTTGACATGTATCAACCAAGTAATCCAGTCTCACCTCCTGACCCCGTTACAACGAGTTGTTGCTGTAGACCAATTCTAATCAATTTTCAGTTATTATTTGTAAGAAACAGTTGACATTCCGTGATATGCCGTACGGAGAATCAGCAACTCACTCTTCACACTGACATCATTCTGAGAAGTTTGTTCATTGACGTCTGCTGTATTTCAGGTTCCATCGTTTGTGAAAAGGTTAATCTCGCAGACCTGAAAGGACAAACAAACAACCTTTGTTACAATGAAAGAAGTAAACAGATCATGTGTCCTAGAAATCAAACACTTTTGATACAAGCGCTGTTGCAAAGAGTACACTCACCTGACGAAGAGGACCCCAGTTCCTGTAGAGAATCAGCCCGTGATAACTATTATGACATTGGGAAATGCCTATTGAACACTACGGATGTGCAGGAGAAGACGGCCTACGAGGCAGCGATGAGGGAGGTTCTGGAGGAGTGTAGTCAGAAGAGGTACTGCATCCTGGAGAGTGACAAGACGTCCTCTATCCATGGACTCAAGGACCTTCCAGTCGGAGAGGGGAACAGACACCCGTCACACCTGGTGGTAATGAATCAGTGTGTTAAAGGTAAGGATTTCGCCATACAGGCCCATTACTTATTATTCTGCTGATAGTGGGGTTTGCCGAACTTAAATATTTACCATCTTGAGTTGATGACTGTAATATTCAAAACTATGTCATTTCCATTTTCCCTTGATCTATGTTTTTTTCAGTTATTACCGAACATACCGTGAGATTGTGGGAGATTGTGGCAGAAACTAGACTGCGTTCACTTTAGTTTGTGTCATGTTACCACCTGTTTGTGTTTAGTTACATCAAATTACCTTTCACTTTAACTCTAACTATACATGTATTCTAAACTATATTACACTAATTATTCAAAGCTCAATAACGTCTTAAAATTGAGCAATCCTAAAATCGTAGTTTTTGTTCAGCGGTTCCCCTGCCCGCCCCTACAAACACCACCCATGTCCAGCTACATCAGTCTGTATGGGAATTCTGGTTGTATTAACTTCATAACGCTTGTACAATAGGCCTGCTCTGACAAGCTGCGTGAATGTGAAGTGCAGGACTTTACAGTGGTAAGGCTTCTCCGTGCGTGTTTATCCCTCATGGTAGGTAATTCAATGTAATGACTTACTGGACATGTCAGTTTGAACCAATAAACCCACCTCTGTGTCTGTCTAATGAACCACTCTTCCAACTTCTTCACAATTACCTAGCACGAATACCGTTTTTATGATCACAACCACAATGCATACACAAATATGGTATCGCAACCCCTATGAATTTTATGCTGCTATTCATTTCATAATTATATTATTTGCATGATTAGTTTTACCCTTCGTGCGCATGTTTAGATATGCATGTGCTACGATCAAATCACGTGCAATAACTTAGTAATAAGCTCAATAACTTGGAAAATCAGTCGATTTCGTTGTTGATGAGCAACTATGGGATCTCCTCAGCTGACAACTGCTCAAAGATGGCAAGTTACTGGTTTGCATCGACCATCAGCCGAATGGCTACATGACATTAGCAAACTAATGACGTTAAGTACCGCCAGCATTTAGGTCCACCGCGACTGACTACTTCTTGGAAGGATAAAACCCTTCATAAATTGTCAAGTGGTTTATTAAAAACAGTGGCTTCCACATTGTCGTTTGTCGAACAGATCAGTCCGAAATCGCCTAAAATCGGCGAAGTATAGAGCCAGGCGACCTATCAGACGTCCGTTGTTATGCCCAGAGCACTAAACAGCGCATAAAGCTTCGTGTCAAAGTCGACGTCACTGGATCTTGAAGGTCATGGGTTTGGGTCCGTTGGCGATTTCTTTTGTTAATGACTGATGGGCGATTGTTTGGAGTGGCAGAGACACTGCATATGCACAACGGAATATCTTTGAGTAAGTACTGTTTGGCAGGGGTTCATTCATTGCTCACTTGGCCTTGTGACGATCAAGCTTGGTGTCAAGGTCGACGTCAGTGGAACTTGAAAGTTATGGGTTAGGATCCGTTGGCGATTTCTTTTGTAAATGACTGATAGGCGATTGTTTGGAGTGGCAGAGACACTGCATATGCACAAAGGAATATATTTTAGGAAGTACTGTTTGGCGGGGGCTCATTCATTGCTCACTTGGCGATCAGACAAAGTCTGAATGGACAGCAGTACATCACTGGGTTGTTGTTCCACATTTCGATGACCATCCCCTCAACACAAGGCCAGTCTTAATGGACGTGTGATTTCGTACGTCAAGAGGCGGCACCTATTCTACTTTGGCCCGCGAAGATTTCAATTGCATGGAGTACGTTTGGATCATTATCGGTCGCAGAATACGACAGAGAGATCCTACAGTACAAATGTTTGATGTATTGGAGCAGGCCCTCCATCATGAATGGAAAGCAAGACCTCAACGTCAAGTTCAACGTCTGATAAAGTCAATGAGGAAGATGGATGTTACTGCAGTTGGCGGATGTTGACATTGTGTTCGGTTATTGATACGTATGTGATTTCTGGAGTATTGTATGTCAGAACAATGAAAATGACCGTAGCTATAGGTGTTAACGTCATACGACTATAGTTATCGGCACTACAAAATGAGTCGCTGTTTTTGCCATGTTTGCATCTATAAAAAACTACAGTTTTTCGTTCTTTTACCGTTTATATTAACTAATTAATTATTCCTTGAGCGTCAGTTTATCCATATAATAAGCTAAACTAAGGTTTTGATATGTTCCTTTGCTATGCTGATACTATGAAAAATATGGGGTGTTGGTATACTTTTTCACACTACCCAACAGAACGTCTGCCTACATAAACAAACTGACAGACAGACTTTATTCGTATATGAGGCCATGAGGCCGAGAGTACATGGCAATACAGAGTGTTTTGTGGCGTGAACGCCTTGTGGTGGTACATTTCATATAATGGTTTGAAAAGATTCATAGGTATACAAATACATATGAATGAATGAATGAATGTACACATTGAATAATAATGTATAGTTAGTGATTTACAAACTTCTTGAGTAGCAATTTAGACTTAATGCATAAACCTGGGGGTAGACAAATGCATAACATAATGATGTAAGGTATACAAATTCGCACGGTAGGGATTAAACTTAGGTTTAAACAGAAACCAACTTACTTCCATCAATATCATATTCTAGTTATCCATACAAAATAGCGTACAACAACTCTTAATCTCACAATGAGCCATGTTAGCAGGGTAGCATCCCTCCAATAATACACTCTGAGGAGCGCCGGGGTAGTCACGTGGTTAAAGTGTTCGCCCGTCACACCGATAACCCGGGTTCGATGCCTCACGTGGGTGTAATGTAGTGAACCGTTTTTGAGCTACCAACCGTTAAGATATATATGCTGCGTTTTGCGTTTTCAGGAAAAACCACTATATGTGACAAAATCATATCTTGGCTGTGACACTCGTGCATTGCTTTTCAGAACAAGTCGCCAGCGTCGTATTGTGCGACAGTGAGACACAGACAGAGAACGAGGTCTACATCAGCAGCAACCCACTGAGGATGTCAGCTCTGGGAACAAGCACCTGTACCTGTACAGTCAGTGGAGCAGCGAGCCAGGTCACCCTACTGGACATGAGACTGGGCAACAGCAACCGGACCAGACTGACCATCAGGGACAGGACACGGTCAGTGTACACAGCCCACGGTGGTCAGCAGACACTCCACTTCATGGAGGACATAAGGATGAGGCAGTCGGAGTGGAGTCTACACATGGATGTTGTCCCAGACCATCTCCCTGACAAGATATGGATGAGAGTGAAAGGTAGTTATTTTACGCCAGACTGTAATGAGTTTATAACGAGTGATGACAGCTTAAAATATTCACTATTGAATCAAAATGCTTCCGTGACTTAATAAGCTTCTTTTTCTACAGGCTACAACAGTACTAAAGTCACAGTCACATGTGAGGGTATGTCCTTCCCTATATCCACCTGTCTAATCTCCTACACTCATTGTCCGTAAGATACATTGAAGCCAACAGGAAATCGAAACGTTTTTAGTATCGACATACAGCTGTGTGGAAACCATACATATGTCGAGTATGTGTAATGTATAATCATATGTGCTTGTTAGGTGCTTCTTGGAGTGAAAATTTCATAATATATATGCAGTGTGAATGGGAGATTCTATTAATTTATTCCTATTCCACGAATACTTTTTTTCATAATTATATTAGAAAATATGTGTAGAAAGCTAACTTCATGGCAACTACACAAGGAAGGTGACACTTACAGGTCAGTACTACTATCATCATAGTGGAGACATTTGGCGGTGGTATACTGTAAACATGAAAGTTGACTTCTTTGACGTAAAAGTTGACGTTCATGGGATTTGAATATGTTTGGCAGTGCATTATTTGTTTGGACAGTAACGAAAATGTAAATCAAATTATAGGGTGTATGTATTACAGTGTTTATTGTATATGAACAGGTAATAAATTCTTGTGACGCTATATTGCACATGAGGAATCTTCAATAAAAACGATGAATGAGGACACCAGTTCCACTAGGTTATAACTGAATTGTCAACGTCTTTGTGCAAATGATGTCATTTTCTCTATGAGGACATGTAACTCATTCCCATTCTATAACCTGACATTAGACTTTGTTTCAGAATCCAACAGCATACCTGTGCTGCCACGATCCTCCTCCTCAGGTGAAGAATGTTACAAACATACACATATAAATATCACTTCAAGTGTTGGCACTTGTACTTAAGGAGGCGTTGGGGTAGCCGAGTGCTTTGACCGTTCGCTTCTCACGCCAAAATTCCGGGTTCCATTCCCCACGTGGGGGGCAATGTGTGAAGCCCATTTCTGATGTGTTTTACCGTGATGTTGCTGTAATGTTGCATACCGCGGCATACATACTCATCCACTAAAAAGAACATTTTTTTATGAACTGCATTATTTCTTGGCATCATATACAGGCACTTGCCCTGTGGCCTGACATCTCAATACAGTCTCATCAACATGTTGTTGTTGTTGTCGTCGTTGTTGTTGTTGTTGTTGTTGTTGTTGTTGCTGTTGCTGATGTTGTCAGCATGATGTATAAACATTTAACTTTCATTCCAGGTGAACACATTATTTTTGTGTGTGTGGGCTTTGTGGCAGGAATGGTCTTTACAGGTTTTATCCTGGGTACTCTTGTTAAAAGGTAAGTAAACACTGGCGGAACTGAGATTTAACATCAAACAGCTGTCCCCATGTAAACACATGGTTGAGATGTACACATGCATATAGTTCTCTTATGTCTTCTGTAGCCTTACGCCAACGCTATTGTTCTCTAAAATATTGACATGGTAACACTGATATGAACTAAACTAGGCGTATGACAGCAATAGTCGTCAGTTGTGGAAGAGTAACTGTGAAGCACTGCTGTGTTCCAGGAGATCAGGACACTCGGGTTCCAGGTCTAATGAAGGTGAGGATAACGGAGAGGCCCACTGCTCTCAGCTGGCCGAGTCACGTGTCCAGCAGCCAACAGGATCACCAGATGGAGATGAACCTCACTACCACATGCCTGATGACCCATGTGACCATGCCCGGGCAGGACCCAACGATTACTACCTGGTGCCTATTCACCGGCAGACTCGATAAACCAGTTTAGGAAGACTTGCTAAATGAGAGTCACAGCTTAGCTTTGCTTGAAAATATGTTTATTGAACTATTATTTAGAAGAAGAAGTAGCTGTGCTATTGCAGGCCTATTCCACAATGTACTATTCAAACATCTCCTCACACGTGTATACATGCCTCGCTGTCATTATACTGTTCACCACTTGCTTGATAACGGTGTTGAAACCTACACCGAAACGTCGCTCTCACGGAAATAAATTACTTTAAATCCATATATTGTTCTCCTTCCATGTTATTTAGAAGACATTGTTTTTGATGACCTTTTGGCATGTTGAAGTAATTTGTTAGACTGTGTGTGTTGTTCTATATTATGCTCAACATTAGCAATGTGCGCATGCGCTCATGTGTGGCGTAGTGGTGGTGTGGTGTGTGGTGTGGTGGTTGTGTGTTTGTCGTGTGTGTGTGTTTGTGTTGTGTGTGTATGTGTGTGTGTGTGTTGTAGTGTATATGGTGTGGTAGTGGTGGTGAGGTGGTGGTGTGTTTGTCGTGTGTGTGTCGTGTGTGTGTTGTGTTGTGTGTGTTGTTGTGTGTGTGTGTGTGTGTGTGTGTGTGTGTTTGTAGTGTGAGTGGTGTGGTCGTGGTGGCGTGTGTGTCTTTGTGGTGTCTCTGATTCAAGACAAAAGGGGCGGTGGGGTAGCCCAGTGGTTAAAGCGTCCGCTCGTCATGCTGAAGACCCGGGTTCGATTCAGCACATGGGTTCAATGAGTGAAGCCCATTTCTGGTGTCCCCACAGTGATATTACTGGAATATTGCTAAAAGCCGCGAAAAAAACCACACCCTCTCACTCAGCCTTACTCATAGGCTGTATGACATGACATGACAACTCGGATTCCCGTAGTGGATGAATGAATGAATGAATGAATGAAAACTACATACATCCATTATGTATATAGTTTGTACATTATCTGAATGACTGCAGTGATTTGATTTACGTATCTGGCATTTAAAACGTTGAACTATTCTATGAGACAGACATAAATATTTCAACGTTAGAAAATATGTCTGTCTAATGTCTATAAGGACTGTAATCCAGTCACCAAATCTATGTTGACAACGAACACAAACTTGACGGGACTGTGTGTCAGATCCAGTGCCGTCAGTATGTACGAGTCATCATGGTCGGATTAGATAGAATGAACATTTTAGACGGAGAAAGGCCCGGACTGATTCATTCCATTGAACAAACGTTGGACCTGTCCTAACACGACTACACCGTCCAATAGCGCAACAGGGTACAGGCATGGTTTACTGGCGATGTGTTTGGCTTAGACGTTGAATCGCGTTTCCTCCTGCAACGATAGGATGGGAGACAACGTGTCTGCCGACGTCGACGAACGTTGTTAGCCGAACTGAGTCCAACAGGTGGACAGATTTGGTGCACAAAACGTCATGGTGTGGGGAGCCGTGTCCTACACGGGTAGATCAGAGCTAGTGGTGGTTAAAGGCAATGCTACAGCAAATCGTTACGTCGGCCAATTCCTGCTCCCTCACCTCCTCCCTCTTTTTAACCGCTAGAGGGAGCTGTTTTAACACGACAACGCTCGACCCCAAACAGCTCGTGTAACAGGTTCACTCTCGCCAATGCAAACGTCAGTGGTCTTCCCTGGCCTTCCAAATCGCCTGATCTGAACTGATTGAGCATCTATAGGACGAACTTGATCGACGCGTCCGTAAACGTCACCATTGTCCTCAAACACTTGAAGAACTTGCTAACGCATTGCAGGAAGAATGGCGTAGAGTTCCCCAAGCACAAATCCGACGACTTGTGTCTCTACATGTGCAGTGAGTGAACTGAATTAATGGTGACAATGACAGCGATACATATGTTCATCCGTGTGTCGAATTTCCTTCATCTAAGTTCAAGCTTAATCCACTTACGTACACTTAAATACATTTAATACATTTCCTTAACTTTGGTCTGTGCGTTTCTTTTTTTTTACCTTTTAAATTAGTTGTCCTGGTCAGCCCAAATGACATGATATTAAACCCTGTCCAAATGGACGTTGTGTGCAGAGGTATGCGCTCCGTATATACGGGCTGCAGTCTCACAGTGTCTCATTAGAAATGCCAGTGCCATGGACCATTTCTAAGTGTGTCAGTAGAGTCAAAGTAAGGTCTTGCACATTGTACTTATAACTGTTTTCCTCTGTCTTCTCAACAGGTTCATAAAGGTTACCTGAAAACTATGTACCGGGATTCTTCAATCTTTATTTGTTGAATTATTATATCATGAAAACGTGATCCTAAAGAAAATTTTGAGTAGCATATTTTGCAGTGACACACGTTCGTGGTGATCTCATTGTGAAAGTATTTTCGAATCTGAAACAGTGCCTTATCTAACAAACGATCACACATTAAGCGGACATGCCAAGTGAAACCAACCAAATGATGTTCAGCAAGGAAGATAGAAAATAATCATAAATTGAAATCACATTTGAACGGGAACTGTGCACTGATATCACCACACCACTTGTCGCCAGCCATGGAGACCGTCAGACTGTTTGGATTCCTGGTGTTACTGGTGAACTCCTGTCTTTGTGAGTACACGTCTATACGTATGTCTCCTTACACAACAAACCTCGGCTAAAGTTCGTACTATCACTCTTAGTCTGAATAGTAATGTTTAATATATTTGTTTCAAATGTAGACTTTACAATCACGCTACCCCACCAAGCTTCTGTAACTCATAATCTGTCGTTTGAAATTATGGTCAGTTTTGAAATCTAGAGGTGTTCCCCAAAATGGTTAACTCTATACAGTCCAACTATTGATCCGTTAAGGCTAGCGTAAAATTTAATAATGTGTTGTCAGGATTTTTCCCTTGTTCACGTGGTGTTCGTCAGGGCTGTGTCCTTAGCCCTCTGTTGTTTTCGATTTTTATCAACGAGTTGGCTGTTGAGGTAGAACGAAGTTCAGGTCCTGGTATTCAATTACATCCTGATGATATTCAAATATTTATTCTTCTTTTTGCGGATGACATCGGACTTATATCTGATACTATTGGAGGGCTACAGAAGCGCATCGATGTTTTAGAAAGGTTTTGTATAGAATACGGTCTTGAGGTCAATTTGGATAAGACAAAAGTTGTCGTTTTTCAGAAAGGTGGTATTTTATCAAAAAGAGAAA